ATTTTATCTGTACTAAGCACTAAATCAGACAGAAAGTCTGAGAATTCACTTAAAAACTCTGAATAAGGAGCAGGTGGACGGTATACAATAACAAACAGAACAGGCTTTTGAGTTTTCCAGTTTGGGTGTGAGAGACTCAGGGTGAGACTTTCAAATGAGTTATAACTATGTTTAGGTCTAGGGTTGATTAATAGGCTTGAGTCAAAGATCGCTGCCACGCCACCACCTCGGCCTGTGTTTCGACGGATGTGACAGTTACTGTGACTAGTTACTGTGTCATTTCTGATTTCCAAACAGTCTGCTGAGTTTCAAAGTAAAAGACCAACACAAGGTCAAGTCTAGATGAGAAATACATCCCTCTTTGCCACTTACTCAAAATGATTAGACAATGGCCTGCATGTATAAACAGCTCTTTCTGTTTCCAGTCTTAATGTAAGCTAAGTTATAATCTGTAATCAGTGTAAACAGTGAAAACACCTTGAAAAGAGGACATTAAACATACCATAACTTTGTTACGCTTATTGCATTCTGAAGCATACAGTAAGCAGCACCATTATATGTGCAATGAAATGGTGGAGCAGGCCTCCACAGTGAAGCAGTGTTTAATCTGTGTAATACCAATGTGTATACAGTATATGCAGTGGCATGATGCACCTGGGCCCCAGTAAGTGAAGGTTTATTTATACAGCCAACATTACAAAGGGCTTCGGAAAAACTCAGACTACACATGTAGCTGACACGACCTGAAGAGGAAGGCAGCAAGAGAAGCTTTAGCGAGTTGGCAATTAGCTGAAGATCTAAGTTAGAGGGATTCACGCTGAGGCCTTGCTTGGGGTGAAAAGGGCCGGTGGTGGTGGTCTTAAAGCAAAACGTTGCTTATTGTAGTTTGGTTCACTGATCGGGCCAGTTCCAGCGGCAGCAGTGGCTGCAGACACGATGCACATATTCTTAGATTCACTGTGGCTTACACTTGCTAAAGTTATCAATCTCTGATGCCCATCACAAATAAACACCTCTGAATCATGTTTAAAACTCATAGAAAAAAGCTGCAGAAGTTTGCATGAGAATCAGCACAGTTTTACCTTCTCTTCAGTACCAGTGGAATCCAGTGATAGGTCTCTGTGCAACCATGGATACTTTGCAAACAGGAGCTTTTATTAGCTAATCCAGCATAGTCCAGGTGGTGCTGATTTGTAACAATGCAAACATATACAGGCTAAAACAATCAGGGCTCAAGCCCACAGCTAACTCCCCGGCTCCAAAGCAATGTTATACAACAACCCCCAATTTCTGAGAGCTGTAGATGTAAAATGTGGAGCTTGATTATCCCCAAAATAGAAACAGAACAGATATTAATCAATATGAAGTTCTTTCATCACCAGCCTTTGTTTATGTTTAGGTGTCCTTACACCATGTCTTTAAACTGGTTTCCATAATGTCCCATAAAGTACTCTATTGATTGTCTGATATTAATATACACGATAGGCATTTTAATGATTAAGGAATTCTTGTAAAACGTTCTTACAAAAAGAAATCACTGTTTGATACTTGTGTCTATTTTTATTCTCTCCACTTAACTGTTTTTCCACAAACTCTGACATCTAATTTCTGATCACTTTCTTTTTACGTCTTTGTCCTGCCTCACCTGCCTCTCGTCTGACTCCTTATGAATCAAGTGTACAGGCCCAATTTCCAGCCTCCAATTCATCCACCTTGCCTCTTCCACTCATCTCATCTCTCAAAGCCCCTTATCTGTGCACTCTATCCTAAATCTTCCTTCACTTCCTTCCCCACCTTGTCTTATTAGGATTTGGTCACCTACTCCAAGAAGACACGGTGTCCCATGACAACTTCACCCCACATTTCCTTTATCATCTTCGAACTCTACCGACTGATATTTCCCTAGTGTTCTGCCAGCAGTGATTGCTGAGCTGTCCCCATCCCACTGCTTTCTTTCCTGTTCTGTTTCACATCTGGTTGTGTCATCCTCAAGTAAAACAGATTTACTCTTTTTTTTCTCATGATGTCAACCCACAACCCCATTGATATATTTGGAGTCTGTGCTTTTTTTCTCACTGATCCACAACAAAATGATTCAGACCCCTGACCCACCAGATGCTCCATGTCTCCCTGACTTGGGTGATCTCTAGTTCATCATTCCCTCAAGTCATCTCACTTTTTCACCCCGTTGGACCTCACCATGGACACTCAGCTTTCCAAGAATCTCTTTCTACTTAGAGATAAACAACTGTGATGTGAGTTCCACATGACTGTGACAGCATAGTCCTATAAGTCTGCTGTTATAAACTACCTTACATAGATGCTCACTATTGTTTAGCTAGGTGCACCTAATAAACTGAGTGTATGCTGTACATTTTACAGAACCACCTGTTAAATCACAAGACTATAGTATGATCCCACAGGTCTTCACTTAGAACAACAGAATTTATAGTATATTTATTTTGCAATAGCCACAATTATCTGATCAATTGTTTCAAAGTCTGACATTGCGTCCAACCACCCCACCGTTCTCACTCCCCAGGGTTTGTGCCTCTATGACAATATCTCTCTACTTCCTCTTTTTCTTCTGTAGTCATTGCTCGTATGAGGGACGTTTGAAGGCTGAAATGTAAACTTCAGTTCATTTATCTCCTTGGATACATATTCTGGATTACCTTTGATAAGTGGTCAGGTATTCCAAGTCACTTACCACCTTCCTCGTCTGCTTCACAGACAAACAAAAGAATCAAGCCCTCACTTGATTTACACTGTGTTTTGTTTGCATTAACAGCATAAAACATCATAAAAGGCCTTTACGCACCTGCTGGACTAACAGTCGCCATCGTGATACTTCAGCAGTGAAGCGCCCCTTTGGTGCATTTTGTTTATAGCAGTAAAGGAAGGCTCGTCTTTGTTTTGGAGTTGCAGGGTCACTGCACAAGAGATGAGATATTTAACCTTTGTTTAAGCAAGGTTTACAACATCTTTCACAGGAAGCCCTGGCAAAAAGTTACATACAGTACATATGAGGAAACACAAAATACAAACCTACTCAACATTATACTTTATACATTATACAGTCTTCAATAATCAACAAAGATATTTAAACAATTTTAACTCAGAACAAGAAGAAAAAGAATCATGCACTAGTGAATTTATTAAAATATTGCCAGTGATACCAGATTGTTCATTTGATTTCCCTTTACAACCTCTCCAAATGTCTGGAGTAGAAATCACAAGGCTTTCTTATTTACTCTTTACATATATGGCAACACCCTCACCCTATTTGTGTCGATCTGTGGAGAAGCTGCTGCACCCAGGTATCAGGATATCCGTGTCCGGTATGGATTTTGTAAACCAAGTAGGACAATAACATCATCAGCATCAGTTGACTGAGCCCAGATACTAAAAAAATCCAGTTTGGTACAAAGCTATGGACATTTTAATGAATAAATCTGTGGCCAGATCTTTCTTGCCCAGTTTTAATGGGCGCATCGTATTTAAAGCTTCTGTCCTGACCTTTTTCTCAGGCTTTTGAGATGTCTTGTGCAGCACCCAGAGGCTTGTGATGATGCTAGTGGTTAGCTGAGACTAACTGTGGGTTGAAATGTGACCACTTTTATGCCTAATTGGCACTGACATAATACTGCAATGATGGGTGGTTGAGTCACCAACTCCTGGCTGCATCACTGCTTTAGTCATACAGCTTCTGTATGACAGTGAGCAGAGTCCGTGCATAGCATGCGTTATTATGAGCTTGTGCCCCATGTAGAATTAACCAACATCCCCCTCCTCCTCTCTGTTTTTGTGGATAGCTCCTAGATATTTCACTTCAGCCAGAGAGGGACCCTAATGTGACGCGTTCTCCGGTGGGATATGAGTGTGTGTTTATGAACATGCCACTGGCAAAACCCACATATTTTAACAAAGACCTTCCAAAGAGGAAAAATTACTCACCAACACGTAATTTGCTCAAAAATAACCAATGGTTAATTCCTGTTAATGACACACAGAGTTAATGCGGTGTCCAGTGCACAGCTGATTCACTGTGTGGTGTAAGCATGTGTGTACATGCATATGCTCCAAGGATGTGCATGTAGCTGAGTTTGCTTATTTACATAAGAATGACGCAGGTGTTTAAGAAGCCTGTTGACGCTGCCCAGACAAACACAGACACATATATAGAGCGCAGTGTGTGATGCTCCTGCAGTAAGATTATGCAGGTAGACCTGCGAGTTCAGTCTGTGTCTATCCGCTAGTACCTTCTAAAAAGGTTTGCAGGGGACAGCTCCATTCTGGGCTGCTAATACTGCAGGTAACTATCCATGACTACAGCGTACAGTAGGAGAGGTGATCATAACAACTGCAGCAAAGAAATGTACAGGTTTTTGTTGTGCTGATATCCAGTTTTACTCCGGGCATCGTCTTTGTAAGAAGAAACAACCGTGTTGTTGCTCGGTGGACTCTTAAAACTGAACGGAGTAGGTAAGAAAGTGGCGAAGTGCAACAGGGACAAGCTATTCTCCAAAATGCTGCTGGACATCAATGGTAAAATGGTAAGACATGTTCACAGCTTTTTATGCTTTGTGAGTGTGTTTTATGTGCTCAGTTTGACAGTTCTTCACATATTCTCATGTTGTCTGCAGGTTGCAGCTAAAGAAGAATGTGTAGGGCCCATGAGACTGACTCAGGAGCCAGTTCAGGTAAGAACAAAGCAAACCTTGTAACATATGGGACCATGTTAATGCATTATCCATGTTTCAGATTTTCAGTAGCAGAGAATTAGTCAAATAAACACTAGTGGTTAGTCTGACATAAACATTTTACTTCACTTTTAGAACAACAATATATCATGCAAGGAGATGATTAGAGAATAAGGGTGTGTGTGTCTTTTACTACAAAATTAGATGTTTTTTACATATAAGGTCAGTCAAATTGGATTTCCAAGCTATCCTGTGATAATTCTCTGTTCAAGTTTTCACTTATTTTCAAACTTGCAATCCCACAACTGATGACAAGTGACTGAAAAACTAACTCTCAGCACATTATGTTAAAAGAAACCATGCACCTAGTTAATCTACCTACATACTGTATCTCAAACTGTGTGTAACATTCATTTGTATCATGACATTTAAAATAAGGAGCAATCATCACCTCCACTCTTGTGCTATGTTGGGGCGTTCATTTGTATCGTGACATTTAAACTAAGGAGCAATCACCACCTCCACTCTTGTGCTATGTTGGGGCCACACTGGGATTTTTTACAAATATGCCGTTTCTACAGTGAACACTGGGAGTCACATCAGGTTCTAGTGATAAACACAGTAGGCTTGAGGTATATTGGAACTTAAAACCTAAAAATGTTCTGCCTCAGGTGCACATATGAACGTTTGCAACAGGTTTTGCTTGCTGTAATCATCCCATTAATTCCATTCATACTGGGCATTAAAGGATCCCTCCTAATGTGATTCTAGTTTGAGTGATGGGGACAAAATGCATTCGAAGGTTTATCCACAGCTAAACAAGGCATCAACAGGTTGAGATAATCAAATCAGTCTTTTCTTTCTGTGAGCCTCTCCTTTTAAAGAATATCTACGATAGCTTTTTGTGATGATTTAAAATATTTAAATAATAGATGGATTTGGATTCTGTACTTCTTTTCATAAAAAACTTAAATCGGTCCTACAAAGCACAGAGCGCTATGTGCGCTGAGCTGAGTTTACTTTCATCAACTGTACATTCACCAGTATTGCGTGAAGGTTATGTCCTCATGTCAGACTGTCTGCAGACACTCTTCTTTATCAAGTCTATCCTGATGCCATCTCATTTTGCCCGTAAGAGCGTGGAAATATTGCAAGGTGAGGGAGGGCTGAGTCAGGGGTCGTCTGTGCTCATCCTCCTCTGGTTAGGGATTAGGCCATGTGCCTGTCAGATTTGCCCTTATGTAACAAAGAAAATAAGGGCTCCTGGAGGTTACCAGTCGGTTGGGATACAGGTACCACAAAGCATTTCTCTGTTCTAGCAGTTCCTCAGGAATCACCTGCTTTGTTAGATGCTTGTTTATTGATTTGATTTTAATTTGCTGCGTTTGTGTTGGTTTGACTGATCTCCAGGGGTTTTTGAGTTCAGATCATTTCCCACTCCAGTGCAATGATGTGAGAGGCCTGGCATGCAACTCATGTTCATGCTGAGCTACAGTATCCTCCTGTACCTCTTCACCCTCCTCCTCCATGCCAAATATCATCACACCAGGAATCTCTGGCAGTATGCAGGCAGGTGGAGGGACCTGGGGCTTTATTTAAAAGCCTTCTAAGTCTGGGTCTCGTGGCCCATAAAACCCTTAAATTGCTCTCCCAAAGCAGAGCACTAAAGTTGTACCTCCAGCCTTTGTGTGGATCCATGACCTAACCCACCCTTCTCCTGCTTCACTCCTTCCACGGAAATGGAAAGATGAAAAGAGGGAGATAAAATGCTCTGCAGGAGATGTTTACTGTTACCGCCTCTCAGCCCTGGAGAGTTTCAGCCTCTCCACATCCCTCTTCCTCCAACTTATCAAGTGATTCATGTTTCAAACATTACACAGATAAGTGATGCTAAAGCAGAACACGCTGTATATTTCCCATATGTGTGCCTGCAGGGTAAACAGACGGATGACAGATTAAAGGAAAACCCTGAATAAATGAGTGGTCTCCTACAGGATGACAGAGCCCCCACCCACAAGCTTAGGGTTAGGTTAACTGTTAGCGTTAGCAGTGAGCCAAACAAAGCTTAAGTTAACGTTAGTTGTTAAACACTGGCAACTAGTTGCAGGTTTCATACCGTCTCGTAACATGTGACATCATGTCAGTATCTCTTCGTTTTTGAAGCTGATCCAAAAGTTAATCTAGTAACATTTAAAACATGAAGGCCCATTTATGTTAAAGAAAACATCATATAAATGTGTAATCACATGTTCATTTAAAAGTGAGTTACATGCAGGGAGGTTTGTATGACAGATATGATATCAGTGTGATGGAGTGCAGCTTGCGTTTAAACGTGTGTACATCAGATGGGGGCGCCTCCTGCCAGGACTGTCGCTGGTGACTTATTTAGGTGGCCGGTCAGAGAGGTGCACAGTCGGTGTCGTCCCAGGGTCAACTGGATACTGTGTGTGTGGAATTTCACATGCTAGCACCATGGTTACACAAAGCAGTGCCATGGTTACACAAGCCAGCACAGGATCAAAGTATGTGGACCTTTCACAGGCACTCACCAGTGCTGGCTCATTTTCCCCTTCTGTCCTCTTCTTCTGCCGTTCTCACCTGTTCTGTTTTCAGTCAGCCCCAGCAGGTGTGAAGGACTGCATTGACAGATATCACACTGCTCTTCCTGATATTAAAACTTGAGCAGGAAGTGGGGAGGATTGTTCCTTTAGCTGTCTTCTACTTATCCCCCACACTGCACCTCCATGCACTCCCTCGGTCACTCTATCCTTTATTGCCCTTAGACACAGTCAGGAGGTGATGCTGTTGCAAGGCACAGCTGAGCATTGTTGGTTCTGGCTGCAGCCCAGCTGCCCCTGTGTATACATGTGTGTGCATGAGAGTATGTGCGTCCCTTCCTCACCACTGTACCAAAGGTAGCTTGTGTGTTTGTGGTCAAAACACGGTGTGCGATCAAAAATGCTCTGCAGGCTCATGTTTGTGCTTATATGCTGCCCGGTTAGAACTGGGAGAAGACATTAGCATGACATTTACATGATGGTTCTCTAGCAGTGCCATTGGTCCATTGTAAATACCCTTATTCAGGATCATGAAGAGGGGGGGGGAGTCTAACCCAGCATGCACTGAGCAAAAGGCAGAGGTGCACCCTACACAGGCTGCCAGTTTATAACAACAAAAACAAGCAGACAGATGAACACATTCACAGTTAATTTCATTTCAAACTGTAGTCTTGAATTCTCCTTAGCTGTGTGTGTCTCGGGGCTGAGGGAGGAAACCCACATTTATTCAGAGCATTCAGAAAAAGCAGCAGGGCTGAGACTGAAGAGTAGAACTGCTTGGTATGAGATGAGGAAGCTACCTGCTTAGCCACCACTTTGTAACTTTAATTATAACTATAGATGCAAACTGAGGAGTCAGTTATTTTATGCGCCATGTGCCTTCTAGCTTCAATTTTGATTTGAACAATTTGCAGGTCATGTAAAGACTAAATAGGTTCTGTTCATTATCATGGATATAAAGCCCATGTTCTCTCCATATAGGGACAAACATAGCATCTCCCTAGCAGTCTGACAGGCCAATGATGTACATGTAATACATCCTTGAAAACATCAAGTCCAAAATTAGTGAAAGATTCCAATGATGAAAAAAAGTCCATCTGCAAAAGCAATGTGGATGTTAAAGGTTTAAATAAGCTGATGTCGGTCACATTGCAAGGCTTTGGCAATGAGA